AAAACCATGTAGAACACAGACACCACCTTATTCTGGTCAGTGGAGTAACTGGACTTGGGCATCACATAAATGAATGTGGTAGTCCCATAGTACAAAGTGACTGCAGTGAGGTGGGAGGTGCAGGTGGAGAAGGCCTTCTGGCGACCCTCAGTGGAGGGCATCTTCAGGATGGTGATGAGAATGTAGGTATAGGAGATGCCTATGACTAACAATGTGATCACACCTGTAGTCCCACAATAAAATGTAGTAATAGCTGTGGGGATCCTGACATCTGAACAGGAGAGATCAACTAAAGGTGCAAAGTCACAGAAAAAATGATTGACTCTGTTTGGTCCACAGAAGTTAGAAGAAAAGAAGGAAAGGGTACAGGAGGAAGCATTAAGAAAACCACCTATGTAAGATCCTATAAGCAGTTTAACACAGACCTGTGTGGACATTTTGGTTGAATAAAGCAGTGGACTACAGATTGCCACAAAGCGATCATAAGCCATGACAGCCAGAAGGAAGTACTCAAGTGTCCCAAAGAAAGCAGCTGAGTCAAGCTGAATGACACACCCAAGGTAGGAGATGGTATTCTTCTCCACTAGGAAGTTAACAAGCATATTGGGTGTGACAGTAGATGAAATGCCTATGTCAGTAGAAGCCAAATGTCTCAGCAAAAAGTACATGGGGTGATGGAGCTGAGGAGAGATTCTGATTAGCAGGATTGTGCTGAGGTTTCCAAACATGGTCACCAGGTAGATGCACAGGACGGTGATGAAGAGGATGACTCGAAGGACTGGGTTGTTTGTTAAGCCAAGTAAAATGAACTGTGTCACTGCTGTGTGGTTTCCATCCACCAGGAAATCCATGGGACAGCGTATACACTTCCTCCAAAAATCCATGATGAGGTTGTGAAGGAATACGTAGTTTCATTTTCATCAAAATATGTTAACAAAAATGAAAGGAAAATATGAAGTAACATTTGAGATTTTCTTCCAAACTCTCAATTTCATATCCTGGTTTACAATGAATATGACTTAAAATTTCATAACCGGAATGCTAGAAATTAGCTGCATATAATATATGTATTTTCTTTACATTTATATGTGGTATTATATATATTACTGTCTTTAAACTATAAGTTTTAAAATGTGAGACTCGTGAAAGTAGCTAAGTACTTAATAATGTAACAAAGTGCATAAATAAACATGGGATTATGTAATGATGTAAAAATTTGATACCTGTCAAAGAATGCTTACTAAATCCCTAGCTGGAGATTTAAAATTTATGCATACTGTTAATGAGACTTCCATAAAATACATTTATTAGTTCCAATTTACATGTGAGAAAATTTAATTTGAAAATAATATATATCTTAAATCTACATAAAAAGTGATAGAGTTAGATATGTATACAGGCACGTTGACCAGAGTCTACGCTTAGTAATTATACCATACATG